CAGGCTGGGCGATGCCAAATCCCCTTTACCCCAGGACACAGCAGCGTTTGCTGCCCCGGGTCTGGTCTGAGACCTGCCTGCCACTGTGCTGCCGTGGCATCGTGCCGGTGCTGCCGGGGGGATGTGGGGTGTCCCTCTGGGATCGGCGTGGGGAGCTGTGCCTGCCAGGAGTGCAGTGAACAGCAGCCACATGTGACAGCAACCCCTGGGCACTCCTGGCCGTGGGACAGGACAGCGAGGGACAGGGATGGCGAGGGACAGGGACAGTGAGGGATGGGGCTGGCGAGCTCCTGCCCTGCCTGCTCCTCCCTGCCCAGCCTGAGGACAAACGAAAGCACATGCAGCCCACTTTCACATGTTATGTTTTAATACTGTTCACGTCTAAAATGACCAAAACCAAGCCAAGCGCCCGCAGCCCCTTGCCCTGCCTCACCTGGAGAGCGAGAGGGCCACGGGCTCCCCTTCCCAGGGCTCGCTGCAGGCAGGTGTGCAGGCAGGTGTGCAGGCAGGACACCCCGGTGCTGCGGGCTGGCTCCTCTGCACCCGCTGCCTGAAGGGGCCTCATACAGCTCCAGTGAATGCGTTTAAATAACAAGCTAATGAGCGGCAAAAGCAAGGGCATCTTAACCACATTTCCTAAAATAGCAACCGGCACCTGTTGCTCGTGCCTGGCAGCCAGGGGCCCTGCCCGCCTCGTGGGGCCGGGTGCAGGCCAGGGCACGGGGCTGTCGCCGCTGGCAGCTGCGGTGCCGGCACGCGGGGTCCCGGTGGGTGTGCGGGGAGGGGGCTCGGCTGGGGGCAGTGCAGTGGGTGCTCAGTGCAGTGATATGGGGTGGGTGCTGCCATGGTGCCAGTGGTGCTGGAGGGACGTGGGGCTGGGCTTCTCTCTGTTCCCCAGGAAGGCAATGCCAGCTGAGCTGCCGTGGTGCCGGGGGCCACGTTGTCGTGGGGGTGTCTGCTGGGGGCTGTGCACTCTCTGCCCCGCAGTGCAGTGGGCACGGGGCAGCTGATGGGCACAGAGGATGGGGAGGGGGTTGGGGTGGAAGCCGGGCTGTTGCCACAGCCCTGGTCCAGCTGGGGTCGGGGTGCCAGGCCCAGGCTGCGTCAGGGTGCCCCAGCCAGGCACAGCAGAGGGTGGGTGCAGGAGGGCAGATGGGAACCCCCGGGCGCTCAGACCACGAAGTGGAGCCCATATGTCATCTGATGGCCGTTGTCCCAGGCGTAGAGCACCTTCTCCTTGGGGTTGTAGTCGACCTGCGTGGTGAAGGAGTAGTGGTTGAGGAAGGGCAGCCGGAGCTCTGCCTCCGTGTTCGTGTGCGTGTCAAAGGCGTAGGAGATCTGCCCTTCCTTCTGGCTGTAGGTGTCTACAGCGTAGAGGATGCCGCAGATGATGAAGCAGTTCCCGTAGGTGTTGCGCTTCAGCCCCGTCTTCCAGGTGGTTTCCTTGCGCACCGAGAGGTCCCCGGGGTCGAGTCGGCTCAGCACGATCACCTCCTGCTGCGAGTAGTCGTAGTCCACAGAGGGGTAGATAACCCAGAGCCCACTCTCATCCACAGCAAAGTCAATGTCTGAGTGGCCCCTCCACTTCCAGGGCGTTGTGTCCTCATACACCACGTCGTGGAGCAGCGCCCAGCCCGCCACGTACCGCTCCTTCAGGTCATACTTGATGATGTTCTTGGTGAAGGCACGGTTGTAGTAGAAGGCCCCCCGGTACACCACATGCCCGGTGCCAATCCAGTTGTAGGGCAGCTTGTAGAGGTTGCTCCAGCGGCCTGTGAGGGGGTGGGAGAGGCGCTGGGACCCGCTGCAGCACTGGGGTCCCATGCACAATGCCCCGAGTGTGCTGGCAGTGGCAGGGGACTTGTGTCCCCCTCACTGCCCTGTGGGTGCTCCCCAGGGCAGGTCCCCATGAGCTGCCCACCGCCCCAGGGCTGGCACAGCCAGTGTCACACAGCACTGGGCACTCACCCAGGAGGAGCTGAGGCCCCTGCACCCACTCGGCTGCTGACCCTCACCCTGCTTGAAGTTCTCGAGGCTCCTGAACTCCACCAGGCTGTTCCCATAGTAGTAGTTGGTGACATAGATACGGTCATCCTTGGCTGCCGGGTCCTTCATCCAGGCCCCCTCGTTGCGCCCGTAGCTGTGGTGCTCCATGGGAGGCTCCACCGACTCGATGGTGCCTTCACACTCCACCTCCTTCACTGGGTACCGTGGAGGAGGAGAGGGACGAGGGCTTATCCCTGCCCCAGGCAGCTGCCTCCTCCTCCTTCCCCATGGCATGGCTATTGCTGGCCTGGCCTGGCCACAGGCACTGGGACTGCCGGGCCGGGTGCCCCCTCCCAGCTGCCCCCCACTCACCCACCTCTGTTTGGTGTTTCGGGGTCCCCAGTGCTGTCATCCCCCTGCCCAAGGGGGCTGGGGAGGCTGCGGGTGGTGCTGCGGGGGGCCGGGGCAGTGCTGGGCACAGCCGTGGTGTTGGGCACGGCGGTCTCTGTCTGTGCAACAGCTTGGGCTGGGGTCCCCTCAGCTGGGGGGGCTGGGGGGCCCCTCTCCTCCTGCTGCTCCGGCACAGCTGGCCCCCTTGCAGGGCTCTCTGTGGGGGGACAAGCTGGGAGTCAGTGCATTTGCAGGGGCAGCCCCAGGCCCTCTGCCTCGGTGGGAGGGTGCTCCCATGCCCCCCGCCTGTGCCCCACGCTGGACTCACCGCGGCTGCCGGCCGGCCCCTCCGCCGCTGCCGCCTGCCCCACCTTGTAGTATGTGATGCCTCGGACCACGGTCTGCTGGTGCGCCAGGGGCTTGGGCTTGGGTGTGGGCTGGGCCCCTGCCCTGGACTTGGTGTTCTCCTTTTTGGGCTTCTCAGGCTTCAGTGGCTTCTCCTTGGGCGCTCGGGGGGCCGCCTTGTCCCCCAGTGCCTTGCGGGTGCTGGGGTACCGCCCCGCCTCCTTCTCTCGGCCGCCTGCCGTGTCCTGGGGGGCACAGCCTGTCAGACCCCCTCCCCTCCCATCCCTCCACTTCCCTGCTGCCACCGAGCCAGGCAGTGGGCACAGGCACCAGCCCCTGGCTGCCAGGGGTGCACCTCTCACAAGCCTGGGGGAGCTCAGCTCTGCCTGGCAGCACCGGCTGTGCCTGTGCAGGGCCGGGCCCTGGGGTACCTGTGGCTCGGGGTACCTGTGCCTTGCTCTCGGGGACAGCAGCCGCGTCCTTCTGCAGCAGCTGGTAACCCAGGTTGGAGATCTCCTTCTTGATGCTGAGCATGATGTCGGAGTAGTTCTCATAGCGTTTCATCTGGTTGGTGAGGTGCAGGACACTCTCCTTCATGAAGTCGTTCTCCCTGCTCAGGTTAGTCTTGATGGTCTGCAGGAGAGGAGAGGCTGGAACCACGGCACCCCCAGAAAGTCCTGAGCAGTTCAGCAGGGAGCACTGCAGGGATGGTGCTGCCAGAGCTCACCTCCTCCAGTGTGTTCATCTGGGCCACCACCTTGCTGATGTAGGAGTGCACCTTCATCAGGTCCATGCTGTACAGCGTTCCCTCCAGCAGGTCCACCATGGACTGCAGCTGCAGAGGAAGAGCAGGGATGGGCCACAGGGCAGGGCTGAGACATGGGGCAGGGGCACAGTGTGGGGGTGAGGCACAGGGCACAGGAGTGGGCACAGGGCAGGGCTGTGCAGTGCGGGGAGGGTGCGTCTGGCCCCCAGTCCCACCATGCCTCAGGTACCTTAAAGAGCTCAGGCGCCTGCTTCTTCAGCTTCTCCATCTTCCACTCGTTCTCACAGGGGTTCAGCGAGGAGGGGGGTGCAGTGCAGGAGCACTTGCAGTCGGCCCCCGAGCTCACCGTCTCAACCGTGTAGAAATCC